ACACTGTCACGAGGTGAAGCTTACTTCAACGCAAATATTTTATCTTTGAATAAAAACAAAACTAAAGAAATAACTTTCTCAAAAAATAAAGCAAGTGATTCATCAGTCAAAATACTAGGATTTCACATAGATTCCAACCTGAACTGGAAAGAACACATTCAGGAATTGCAAAAAAAGCTGTCCAGAAGTCAATTTTTATTTAGAAATATCAGAAAAATAGTATCAATTGAAGTGCTGAAAACTGTATATTACGGTATGGTTCACTGCCACTTAATGTATGGGATTTCATTATGGGGCACAAGCTCAGCGTGACACCAGTTATGGATAAATAAAAAAAAATTGTTAGAACTATGGCTAACGCTGGACCAAGGGAACATGCCAAACCATTGTTCATCAAAATGCAAATTTTAACACTTCCATGTATATATATTACAGAAGTCATCTTGTGGATACACCAAAACAAAAATGCGAACACTACGGGGAGTGAAATTTATAAGTACCTGCAATAAAGAATTGTATAGACTACCTCGAGTGAACTACACTAAAACAATGAAGCAGACTGACTATCTACCAATTAAACTATATAACCTCATACCGGTGGATTGGAATACATTCACTACAAAAAAGTTGAAACACTACGTAAAACAATCACTTCTTGTAAATCCACTTTATAATATTGAAGATGTTTTTTTCCCATATATGGACTTGATATTTAGTACTGTCTATTCAACGTACTACCTTACATAAAGCCTAGTTTCTAGGATTATCTCATTTTTACAGCTTTACAAATATTATTTACATAGCTTTACAAATTTTATATACATTTTGACGTACTTACACAATTATGTTGTGAATTTATCACATAAACATTTTTGTAATTTTCAAAGGTCAATAAATACCTTATCTTATCTTACAGTATCAATAATATACCAATTAATAGGAAATCAGTGGTAAAGGACTTAGGAATTATGTTCGATCGTGAATTGAACTTCAAATGTCATAATTTTGGAAAATTATTTTTACGCCTGATACTTTGTTTCAATTTTCCCCAAATCAACTCAATGGGATTGAAAACACAAAAATTCAGCAATACTCTCAAGGGCATACACTTTTTCAAATGTTTTTGTGTAAAACTTCAATTAGTTGGTTTTTGGTATAGTAATCTTCAAAATTCAAATTGTTATCCATTGAAAAACTTCGTATTTCATCTTTCCTCAAAATTTTATTTGGGGTTTGGATGAGCTGTTGCTAATAATAGAAAGCGCTGTCAAGAACTATTACATTATTCGCATCCAAATTTGGTATCAATGTGTTTTCAAACCATTCCTCAAAAATATTAGCTTCCATGTACTCATGATAGTCAGCATTGCATTCTTCAAGTTCTTTACTTTCTCTGCAATGCACAATGATTAGTCACGATCCTGTGTTTGCAGGCATGTTAGGCGTACACATTCTCGAACCATCAGTCCACCCTTTCGTAACTGTGTCGTGAGTGTCATACCAAGTTTCGTCCGAATAAAAAATTTGCCATTTTTCTTCTCTATATATATTTATTTATTCTAAGTATTTGTTTCGCAATTCCACTATTCTTCTGCTTTCCATAACTCCTTGTTTATTATTTTAAATCTAAATCCTAGATTCTTTATCCAATTCTGGATAAAGTATTAAATTTCTTCCTTATGATTTCAATTTTAGGAATCTCATTGCTTTTGTAACAGTCGTGTATTGGTTTTTTCAATGATTTTATTAGATGAACATCTAAAGGTTTTGATAATCCTATATCAAATAAGGTTTGTTGAGAAAGTTGAGAAAGGAAAAATTGATTGATTAATTGAATTTAATTTTGTAGGTTACTTTCTGGAGAAAAAACAATATCCTTTGAACAGGATGAAGATGATCTAGACTTAGATTTGGAAGGCGTTAATATTGACGACAATATAGACACAACGGTAAAATTTTAATCAAAAGTATTTATCAGTTTATCTTAAATTTTTTTTTTTTAGGATATCAATATCGACGATGATTTATTGAGCGATTGAAATTGGCCATTCAGCGATGGAAATTGTGTATAAATTTTTATAAACTATAGTTCCCAGATTATATTGATTTATTATTCAACTAATTCTATAAACATTGTTTTTATATTTCCTGTCAGATTTTTCTCTCACAAACACAAGCAATCATATTGAAATCCTCAAAATAAGTCATTTAGGTAGTTAAAATAAAATTGCAGGTTATGGATAATGTTACGTTTTTCCCCGTGGCTTGATCAATAATTGACTACACTGAATAATCAAACTTAACTTTATTTCACTTTAAATACAACAAACACTTCAACTATTATTTGAATGCTATCGCCTTACTAGATCACATCGCGTACCGCACTGTAATGTCCACTTGACTGTGTCGATATGCCCGCCGCTAGCGTTTAAATATCGCAATCGAACATCGTAGGAACTTCGCCAAAGTTCTGTCGAAGTCGGTGCCATTATTCTCGCTGCTTCTCGAGTGGCGGGAAATCATCGTACATTCCCGCGCTCTTAGCTACGTCACGTTTGGTTTATAGTTACCAGTGGCTGCCGGCGTTACTTTTTTTTCGGGTATGACCTACAACAATAATTTATCAGATATTGAAACCTAGAGCTGGTTTCGGTAAACCCCTGCTGTTGGTAATTGTTCTCTGGGGTCCTTAGTTGACCTTAGTCTTTCCAATGGTTTTCGTTGACCTGTATATAGTTTTTACGTTATGTTTAGCAAGAACTCTCCTGATCTGTAACATTCGTCACCTATAAACCCCTGTTGTTGTTAAAAGTCCTCTGGAGTCTTTAACTGATCTTAGACTCTCTCTGATGGTTTCCGTTGACCTGTAGATGAAGGGTCTCTCATTAAGCGTTTCCTATCTTTAAATTTAAATAAAACAAAATGTGTGTGAGACATCGAAATTTTTTGTATGTACATGAACATGAATCAGGCTGAATTTGACCGATGACATGGGCTTTGAGGACCGCTGTAGTTTGTGGCTTATTCACATACACCTGCGACTCCCACAAGAAAAAGTCTAACGGCGTCGAATTTCATGATCTTGGTGGTCGGTTCAAATCACTTCTACGTTGGATGACCATGCCCTCAAATCGTTCATGCAGAATAGATAGATATATATTCATTTATTTCTACAGAATAATGCAACTCTTGTATAAAAGGTAAAAGAAATACTTTGTCCGAGAAATACGTCAATTTAAACCACTTTACATGCACATATAAGTAACCGTGAAAGTTTACACTCTTTGATGAATAATAAACACTTACAATAGAGGTGTCAAATCATTTTAAAGGTATAAAAGAGGGTAATTATTTTGAGCTCGAGGATCCAGATACCTGACCTCTCTTGTTTTTGACAAGCTCATTGGAACATAGAACTTTCTATTGTTCTCAACAAAAATAATAGGGTATTTCCGCTTGTTGCTAAGAGATGGCGTTACTGTCTACGATTGAGTTGTTTACTAGAACTAAATAGATATCTAACTAACACTCTCTCGCTTGTCTAGGCATGCGCCGCCCTTGAAATTACTTATAAAGGTATAGTAAAACCAATAATGATTGAGAGTAAAGCGCGTTGTCATATCTAAATTTTACGTTACCAGTTTATAGAAGAATCAAAATATAGTAAGCAGTAGAGTTGTAGGTTGTGGCAAATTATAGATAATACACAATACTAGTACGATTAAAAGGTATTATTTATGACAAAAATCAGTAATGAGCTTGTAATGAGTAATACTTATACATTTCCTGATTACTGATCAGTTAAAATTCATTATTTTCTGTATAGTGTTAGATATTTATTACAACTAGTGGCAACGCTGTACGCAACGATATTTCTGTCTTTGTCACTTTACCGTAACTTCCATCTCATCGTTGCAGTCCTCACTAATGTACTTGCAGCCATG